GAGAAGTCATTTTAAAGATCATACAGATTGGGAGTGGAATTACAGGCTGGCCTGGATCCCAGTAGCTTTTCTGCTAGAGAAGAAGGAAGCAGGGGCCTTACCCTGGGCACCGTGGGACCTGTCTGGACAAGAGTCATGTGGGAATGGGGGCGGGGGCTATAGGAAGGAGGGGAACTAGGTTAGTTTGGGTGAAAAAGCTAGCTGGATCCATCCCACTATGTCTGTTTCTGTGACGTTCTTGACATTTTTGTTAAAGAATATTGCCCCCCACACACACATTTTAAAGGGGGGGGAGACTGGCATGTAAGGGAGGGCCCTTTAACTCTGGGTGGGTTTTTTTGTGCTGTTTAACTACTGGACATCACTGCCACGACTGCCCTGCCATTGTGTTTACCTGCACACATGTGGATGGGTGGAATTCTCCGTAAATATTTCCCAGTGCAGGGGAAAAGCGTCTTATGGAGCAATGCTGCCTCTAAGCCGTGGAGTCCCGTGAGCAAAAATTCTACTCTGTGAGCTGCTGGCACTAAAGTTGTGAGCGAGTGGTTTGGCTGCTGCATAAATTAGTTTGCTCTGGAGCCATCCTTCCTGAGCTGAGCAAAAATGTGTGAGCCAGAGGCTAAAAAACTGTGAGCTAGCTAACCCTAACTCAGCTTAGAAGGAACACTGTTATGGAGCCATGATTTATTTTGGTTTTCTCAGAGCCAGCATGTGTTGTGTTAAGAGTGTTGGATTAGGGCCTGGGAGACCCAAGGTCGATTCCCCCACTCGCACTTAACCTAACCTACCTCACAGGGTCGTTGTGAGGATGAATGGAGGAGAGGAGAATGATGTGAGCGGCTTTGGGTCCTCACTGGGGAGAAAGGTGGGGTATAAATGAAGTAAACAAATGAAACACTGAGCAAAGCCGTTGATAAATAGGATGTCTTGGAGGCCCCCCGTTCATTCACAGGGTCGCCGTAAATTGGAAGCGCCTCGACAGCACTTAATGCTTACAGAGAGTGGAACAATAATCTGTGTCCCTGCTCCCGCACTTTAAATGGTCGTCTACATTTAGATTAGGTGTCTTTCTCCCCCCCCCCCCTTTCATATTGTTGGGAAAAATCGGGACAGAGCTGCCAACATGTCCCGCTGCACTTAGACGGTGATCTCTGCTGTAAAATTTAACTTTTGTGCAGTTGGATTTGGAGGTGGCCATATTTCAGTGTGGCATTCCTCTCCCCTTTCTTTGTTCAGGAGTAGTATTCTGAAAGTGATCTCCAGTGGAATCCAGCTGCCCCTCAGGTGTAGTTGGGGCGGGCCCCTTGGTGGGCACCGTGGAACCCTTTTGCTGCCACAGTGAACCAGCTGCACAAAGGATCGGGCCTTGCTTAGCTCCCTTGGGCTCCTCTTTCAATGGGTGGCCCATTTCGGCCTTCTCTGTAAGGTTCAAGAACCACCAGTCCTCTGTGGGGTCCTGGCCCACAACCGTTCATACTCCGGGGGGGGGGGGGGGGCATGCGGCAAGCTGATGAAGCAGTTTTCTGTTCCCTCCACCACTCTCTCCCAAGATCTCCTTCTTTCCCTCAGATCTTAGGGTGAATAACTTCTCCCTGTTTTCCAAGATCTGGTGTTAATTTAAAACCTGCTGTTGAAAAGTGGATTTATTTATATAAAATGATGGCCTCAATCCTGTCAAAATTAGCTCACAGTTAATCCAGAAGAAAGCCAACTAACTTGGAGGTAGCTATGATGGAATTATTGTGTCAATCCTGTCAAAATTAGCTCACAGTTAACCCAGAAGAGAGGTAGCTATGATGGAATTATTGTAATGGAATTATTCCATGGGTTTCAGTGGGATTTAAAAGCTTTGGTTGGATTGGGCCACACACTATTTATGTACCTTGTTTAGTAGGTACCATGAACCATGCCGGGGGGAGGGTGTTGCACCTTGTGAGGTAAGGCGATGAAAGGCTTTCAGGAGCTTTTTAAAAATGAACAACCCGGTTTGCTACTCTGGTAGCCCATCAGCCTCTTTGTAATACAGCATTAAATACAGGTCTATGAAATGTTTATTTTCTATGTGTGAGTACATAGCCTGGTATTATGCAATAAATGTACTGTTTCCTTCAGACTTTCATCTCTGCCTCTTAACTCCCCTCCCCCACTTTAGTCCTCTTTAATTGAGTCACTGCTGGACAGCATTACACATGAGCTGAGCCTAATGAAGAAGTTGGAAGGCAAGATCTGTGACTCAGTTCAGATATAACATGAAATTGTGTCCTAATTTAACTCCGGTTATTGTCTGAACATGGGCTATACCAGTATGGTGAATTCAGCTACATCAAACCAGGATCTGAAACCAGGATTTGAAGTTATTAACCAGGGCTGCGATCATACGTACCTGAAGCTGCGGCAGACATACGATTCCCCTGCGGATTAAAGGGACGCGATCAGACAGACACATCTGTCCAGCGTCCCGGAGTCGTTGGCGGGGCGTCTTGTTGGGCCGCAGGAGCGTTGCAAAAAGCCACCGGGGAAAGGTTAATAGTATCCGGAACTGTGGGGCAGGCGGGCGGAAGTCTGATCACGCAAACGCGCGTCAGTTCGCCCCGGGGCAAACAGCCTCGCTTCCCGCCTGCATTTCCTCGGTGGTGTGATCGGAGCCCAGCTGTGGTTTTGATCCATGTGGAATGTGGGCATTCTGATGTAACAAGAGAGGACCCACAACAAAATGTTGCATAAGTCACCGCCGCCTCAACCATAGGCCTGGCAGAACATCTCCGATTTACAGGCCCTGTGAAACTGCTTTAGGTTTGGCTGGGCCCAGATCTCTCTTGGGAGGGTGTTCTACTAGGCTGGCACCACAGCTGGAAAGGCTCTGCCTCTGGTTGAGGCTAAGCTGACTTCAAGCTGGGGATCACCAGCAGATGTTGGTACACAGAGCATAACACTCTTTGAGGGATGTACCAGGAGAGACGGTCCTGAAGGTATGTTGGCCCCAGACTGCATGCGGCTTCAGAGATTAGAACCAAAACCTTGCATTTGGTCCGGTACTCAACCAGAAGCCAGTGCAGTAATCCAGCCTGGAGGTTCAAGGCAATCCTAGTTTCACAAATGACACATAGTTAAAATAAGACCGCCGGGATTCATATTTGGTTTGTCCTGAGCCAGCCTGGTAGGAAGGGGGAATTAAGGTAACAGAATTATGCTTGCTCACTGGGTCCGGCCTGCGCGGTGGAGGGGACTGTGGCTCAGGGGCAGAGTATCCCCAACATCTCCAATGAAAAGGGTTGGGATTTAGGTGATGGACCAGTGGCCTGGTTCAAAATAAGACAGTCAGATGATGCGATATGATGGGTGTCCATCTATTGATGTGAAATTTTTATACAGTGCATTGCCAAAACCACATGCTGGTTAACCAACAGAATATCCACAGAACAATGCACTGGAATCCAGAAATCCAGCCTGTATTCTACAGTCTTTTGTGAGCTCTCGTCAAAGTCAAATACCTTTTATTGGCATAAAATATTAAAATAAACATTTCCCAGTATTAATACAATCCTGTAGAGATTATAAAATGGATAATCAAGGTAAACCATTCCAAGAATATGTCAGGCCTATAACATACCTCAGGTTGTCACAAGATAGATTTGACCATGCAGCAGATAGCTGAGTCGTACACTAAATTGAAATCTAGACTTTTAAGTTTTTAAATTATAAATTAAGAATCATTAATATGCTCAGAGTCATTCTTCCATTTTATAAAACCATGAAGGAACTTAGCGGTCAGTTCAATGATCTCCGGGTCTCGTGAAGTAAGGAGATAATGTACCTTGTTTCTATCCGGTTGGCCTACTACCAACCTAAGGGGGGCTTCTATAAATTCCACTCGAATGTCATTTAACAATTTACAGTGTAAGAGTACGTGCTCAACCGTTTCTATTTCTCTTCTATTACATCCACAAAACCTCTCTTGAGTGCTCTAGGTGTGTGAGGTGAGTTTACAAATATTCTAAATAAATAACCTCACCTAAAACTTGCAAAAGAGGAAGCCACAACAATACCTTCTGGACTGGAACCAAAAGGTTCTGATCATATCTAGAATTAGGTAACTAAACAAGTCCTATTATCCAGTATACGGCAGAAACGACTGGGTACTGTTTCCATCCCCAAACCATCCAAGGTGCTCTCAGCCTCTCCCTAGTAGTTAAAAGAAAGCCAGGCCAGGTTTTTAGCTGCAAGTCATAGTTGGGAAGAGAAAAGGCATGTGTAGCTGAGCTCTTAATCCCTTTTGCATTAGGAAAGACCCCCTGGTGCCTCTAGACCTAGCCATGGGGAGTGTTTTTTGGAAACAGGTAAGCAGCCATCTTGGCAGAAAATGAATAGTCACATGGGCTCTGGCTCTTCTCCAAAGCCAATTTAATGTGGCTTATCCCAGAGTTACATGCTGTTGCTTTGGCATTATTAAGCCAAGTGCCAGTGTGAGTTGTACTTGTTTCCATTCTTTGCTGACACTGGAAGCATAAAATAATCCCAACAAAGAAAATGCCGCCCTTCCATTACACCCTTTGGTTGCCACCAAAAAGACCTGGATTTTTTGGTTTCCCAACCCATTAATGGCAGTTACTCTGTTTCTGTGGTTGAGCCCGGTTGTTCAGTTCCATAGCTCTTTTGTTTTGGTTTTGGCAAGTATGTGCGAAGTTTGCAACCTCAAAAACAGAAGGACGTGATAAACAGAATGGCCAAGGCAGAGTTTAAGGTGCAACATCCCACAGGATGCTCAGTTCCAAAGGAACATTTAAAAAGGTAAAGGTTCCCTTGCTCGAAAGCCAGTCGAATCCGACTAGGGTTGCAGTGCTCATCTCCGTTTCAAAGCCGAAGAACCAGCGCTGTCCGAAGACGTTTCCGTGGTCATGTGGCCGGCATG